GCATTTTTTATCATCGCTGCCCTTTGTGCTTGGTTCCCCAATTCTCGAAATCGAGGCCAGCCTTTGTGCAGCTTTTGATGAAAGCGGCCTCCCCTCTCTGTCATAAGAAATCTACAGTCACTGGCCCAGTGCAATCCCTTTTGGCATCGGGGACACAAGCTGGGCGGTACTGTAGAGTCTCTTCTTTTCAGATGAGGGCAATCCCTTCTAAAATGTCCTGTTTGTGTGCAATTGTTACACGTAGCCTCCTTCTGTTGTTGTTACACTGCCAGGAGTTCAGTTGGTAGGGATTTGTTGTACCTGTTGGATCCTACATTGCAACATGCCTTAACCATGTCCATTGGAGTGGGATTTTGGAGGGACCTTAATATTTCCTGACAATAATCATTTAATTTACTGCCAATTTTAGAAACAGTGCATCCTGAGCTTCTAGATTGTTTATTCACTAAATGTTTAGGCATTGGAATAGGATTCCTAGGAAGGTGATTCAAACTCTGGCATTGTTCATATGGCATCTGGATATGGCACTTTGGGATGTGGTTTAGGTGTGATTATGGTGGTTTTGGTTGACAGTTGGACAAAAAGATCTTGAATGCCCCTTCCAACCTTAAAGATTTTGTGATTCTCTGACCTTTCATCAAAGTTTCCAGGTTTCTGCTCTCACAAGATGTTTTCCGAGTTCGATCCCTCAGTGGGACCCATTATTACAACAGGAAACTTTACAGTTTGAATCTCAATTTGCTTTCTCAAGAGGTTCCTGCAACTCTCCTCAGGGTCTGATGTTCAAGGACTCATCCCCAAAGCCCCCGAGGGTGATGAAATGCCTGGGGCTGTTGCTTAGCTCCTGAGCTGGGACACAGGAAGCTCCTGGCAACCAAAAAAAGCTTCAAAGAGACAGCTCTGCCCAGGAGCAGCTCCTCTGCACAGCCCAGCAGGGCTGAGGGCACTGCCTGAAGCACCCAGGGCACAGGAGAGAAGGCAGAGAGGTGAGAGGCAGCCTGGGCTGGGAGGAGACTGAGCTTTCACTACAGGAGAAACATTCACAGGCTTTGACATAAGAATTCTCTGGCTGTAGGAAAGGTTATCTTCCCTTCCTGCAGGGATCTCCTAAAGCTGCCACATCCCACAGCTTGTAGGATCTTTCAGAAGGTTTGTGTGTGCTGGGAAAGGGACTTTGCTGCCTGCCAGGGGCAGCTCTCAGCCTGGCCAAGGAGCTGCCATGGCCCTGCAGGAAGGGGTGGGGGGAAGCAGTGAGCCCTCCTGGCAGGCCAGGGCTGCGCAGGGCCCTTCAGCTGCAGGCTCAGGGCTCCTCCCAGCTTCAGCTGCACCTGCTGCCATTTGCAGGGGCCCTTCTCAGGAAGCACATCCACTGCCAACACCTGCCCCTTCCCAGCTGGCTCAGGGGGTCTGGGATCTGCTCTGCAGCACCTGCCCAGGCAGAGCTGCTCCTGGGCCCTGGGCTGGGGATGGGCTCTGGCAGCACTGTCAGGGAGCTGAGCTGGGTACAGGGAGGGGCTGCTGGTAGGAACAGCTCCTCACACACACACACAGGCAGGGAGGGAGAGGCAGCTGCTGCCACAAGTGCTGGCCAGGGGGATGTGGCCCCTCCCTGCCTGTGTCTGTGGCTCAGAGCCCTTCCCTGAGCAGCTCCTGCCTGGGCTCCTTTGCCAGCCTGAGCAGAGCCTGTGCCCTCAGGCCCACGGGGACTGGGCTGGGCATTGCCCTGCAGCAGCCAGAGCCCAGGCAAGGACAAGGCCCTCATTTCCATCTGTCTCTGCCTGTCACTCCTCCCTTGGCAGCAGCACTGGGGTATTTCCCTGCCATCCCCTGCTGCCTGGGCTCTCCTTGTTCTCACCCTTGGCTTTTCTGAGCCACTGTGGGGTTTGGGGGGGCAGATTCCGGTGCAGACACAAACCTTTTTGGTGCTACTGTGGGGATGTGTGTGTGGGAGCAAAGTGCCCAAGTGCCCACCATGACACTTGAGGCTCTTCAGCTGTTTCCCTGGGTGTCCTGCAGGGCTGCAGGTGCCCTCCAGAAGGACACAGCTCTGCCATAGTATCTCTATGCTGCACAGGATCCCCATGGAGAAAACACTTCAGTGCTAGCTCCGTGGAAATGGTCTGGGCAGCTGCAATGAGCATTTTGTGTCTCACTCTGGGAGGAGAGAGATAAAAGGTGAGGAGTGTGTCAGTCTGTTTTTGGACATGGATTCCTTGAGATCTGTGCAGTTTCTTTGTAGGGGAACAATTGAGTGTGATGCTCCTCCAACTCCAAGCTGCCAGCACAGGGCAGCTGAGCACAGACTGATGGGCAGAGCAGCTCTTCTGTCTGCATTGAGGGACCATCCCTGTGCCCTCAGAACCAACAAGTGTTTTCCGTGCTGTACAAAAGAAATGTCAGGGATTTTCAAAATCCACAACCACTCCTAACAGTGGCAGATGCAACTGGGGGAACAAAACCAAAGAATTCCCTCAGCTCAGTCCTTCATTTGTGCAAATTGCAAACAGCAAAACTAAGAAGCTCTTGGATGTATCAGGAGCACATTTAATTGTAAATCACCCTGCATTCCAAGTTCCCTCTTCCTTCAGAGGAAAAAGGAGTCCTTGGGAGCCCATCCCAGAGTTTCTGCTTTAAATGGTGCCCTCAAGCAGCAACAGCCAGACCTCAGGGGAGGGAGCTTCCGGGTGGTCTGACTGAAGAGAGAGCCTGAGAGTGGGGTGGCTGAGATGTGTCCTGTTTGGCTGAAGCAGCCAGGTCTAACTCAGCATTGACTTCTCCTCCTCACCAGATCAAAATACTCTGAGGAAGGAGAAAATGCCCAACAGCAGCTCCATGGCCCAATTCCTGCTTCTGGCATTTGCAGACAGGCGGGAGCTGCATCTCCTGCACTTCTGGCTCTTCCTGGGCATCTCCCTGGCTGCCCTCCTGGGCAACGGCCTCATCCTCAGCGCCGTAGCCTGCGATCACCACCTGCACACCCCCAGGGACTTCTTCCTGCTGCACCTCTCCCTCACAGACCTGGGCTGCATCTGCACCACTGTGCCCAAAGCCATGCACAACTCCCTCTGGGACACCACAACCATCTCCTACTCAGGATGTGCTGCACAGCTCTTTTTCTTTGTGTTCTTCATCTCAGCAATTACCTCCCCACCACGATGTGCTACGACCGCTACATTGCCATCTGCAAACCCCTGCACTACGGGACCCTCCTGGGCAGCAGAGCTTGTGCCCACATGGCAGCAACTGCCTGGGCCTCTGGGTTTGTCACTGCTCTGCTGCACACAGCCAATACATTTTCCCTGCCCCTGTGCCGGGGCAATGCCCTGGGCCAGTTCTTCTGTGAAATCCCACACATCCTCAAGCTCTCCTGCCAACACTCAGGCTACCTCAGGGAAATTGGCCTTCTTGTGGTTATTATCTGTTTCATGTTCAGTTGTTTCATTTTCATTGTTTTCTCCTATGTGCAGATCTTCAGGGCTGTGCTGAGGATCCCCTCTGAGCAGGGATGGCACAAAACCTTTTCCACGTGCCTCCCTCACCTGGCCATGGTCTCTATTGTTACCAGCACCTCATTCTTTGCCTATCTGAAATCCCCCTCCATTTCCTCCTCAACCCTGGACCTGTTTTTTTCAGTTCTGTACTCGGTGGTGCCTCCAGCCCTGAACCCCCTCATCTATAGCCTGAGGAACCAGGAGCTCAGGGATGCCCTGAGGAAACTGATAACTGGGTGTTTTTAAGGAGCAATAAACTCTCCTTGTTCTGCATGTCATGTACCTCATTAAAGGCCAATCCTTTTATGTACTTCATTGAAGACTCACAGTATCTTCACTATTTTTTTTCTCTTGGTATGGGTGTTAGTTCTGGGAGAATTTGTTCTCACTAAAAAATCTTTATATATATATATCTTTATATAGTTCTTCTGTGAAATCCCACACATCCTCAAGCTCTCCTGCTCACACTCAGGCTACCTCAGGGAAATTGGTCTTCTTGGGGTTAGTGGCTGTTTAGCATTTGGTTGTTTCATTTTCATAGTTTTCTCCTATGTGCAGATCTTCAGGGCTGTGCTGAGGATCCCCTCTGAGTAGGGACGGCACAAAGCCTTTTCCACGTGCCTCCCTCACCTGGCCATGGTTTCCCTCTTTATAAGCACTGGCACATTTGTCTACTTGAAGTCCGCCTCAATCCCCTCCCCATCCCTGGATCTGGCCCTGTCAGTTCTGTACTCGGTGGTGCCTCCAGCCCTGAACCCCCTCATCTACAGCCTGAGGAACCAGGAGCTCAAGGATGCCATAAGGAAAATGATGACTGGATATTTTTCAGGATCAAGAAACTGCATATTTTCTTCTGCAGAACACTCATTGTGTAACACATTTTAGGCCCTGCCTGCGTTGTAATACTACTGATAGTAGTGGAGATCAGGGGCTTTCCTGTTTTTTCCCTCTGTTCTTATTATTAATGCTGATTTTTTTTTTCATGCCATATATAATTCACTCTCTACCTCTTTTTTTTTTTTTTTTTTGACCCACAAAATGTACTTATCAGGAATCATGCTCTGTGTGCACTTAAGCAAAATAAAATTCATGCAGTATGGTATTTGTCAAAGATCCTGCCTATGTTAGTTTATACATGAGGAATCATAATCTCTGAGTGTAAGAAAGAATATAAATTTTCTTTTCCTGATCCTTTCCCCAAGACCTCCCCTGAAGCTGGAGGGCATTTCCATGTTTGCAGATGTGGAGGGGAAAAGAGTCCCAGCCCTGCCAGGGAGTACCAGAACTGGGTCTTTCCAGAACTGCTCTCTTTGCACTCCTCCCCTCTCCTTTGCTGTCCGTGTCCAAGGTCTGAGTGCTCTGGCAGCTCAGTCACTGTCATGCTGTGTGTCAGTCCTGGGACCACAGGCAGGGACAGGCCCTGGGCACTGCTGGGACAGGGCTGGGCTCCACACCAGCACTTCCATCAGCAAAGGGCTTCCCCTGCAGGCACTTCCTGAACGCTGAGCTTTTTTCCCAACACTGGTATGGAGAAGAAGTCCAAGGAATAGTCTTCAAAGTCTTGTTGCTTTGCTTGTTTCTCCATGGAGACAGTGCAGGGAGGACAGGGACCCACTGGGACTTCAGGGACTGAGGGCTGGCTCAGATGTTGTGTGTTGGTGGCCGATGGGGAATGGAGGTGACAAAGGATCTCCAGGTCACCTGCCAGGGGCTCTGCAGCTTGTGCTGGCTCTGATGGCAGATGAGGACTTGTCTGTGGGAAATGAGGAACTGCAGGAGAGCATAGAGGATCTGCAGGGACAGCCTGTCCCATCCAGTCAGCAGTGACTGGAGCCCTGGAGTAGAATCCTGCCCAGGGTGGAGTCACCCAGACAGAAAGAAATAAATCTTTCTAGGAAGTGGCAAAGAGAGCTCTGCAATCCCAGAGGACACAGCAGGTACAGGGAAAGGAGTTTGGAGAGTGTTTTTTGTTACCCACAGTGAACTTCCATAGGATGATCCTGGGCAGTCCCCAAAGCCATGTCCCAGCTCTGGAACAAGGCAGGGCCCCTCTCAGCACCCTCCATGGCCTCAAAAGAGCGTCAGTGGAAGGGAGCACCATCAGCTGGCTCTTAAGTCCATGAGGTTCCTCAGTGTCAGAAAGGCCCGTTGGTTCCATGAGGTTCCAAAAGGTTTCAGGGTTCCATTTTTCCATGAGGCCCCACAGGTCAAAATGGCCCCTTGGTTCCACCAGATCCCTGTGTCCCTGTGTTCCTTTGTTTCCAGGGGGCCCTGCAGTGTCACAGTGGCCCCTTGATTCCATGGGGTTGCACAGCATCAGCACAAAGCTGAGCCCATCCTGATGGAACAGCTGTGGAGGTTCAGAGGAACTGGGACAAAAGGGTTAAGATAATTGTGGAAGAGGGGATTGGCCAACACAGAGGAAAGATTTTGATGAGTAAACAAAAGGTCCAGGTAATGCTGAGGGTGCTAAAACACTGACTGTGCAAACACTCTTGATGGACCTTTACACACTTTGTAACCTCAAGCCACAACACTCCCCAAAAGTGCTGCCCCTCCCATTGAAAGGAATCCACTGCTCTAATTCCAAGACAGAAAAAGCCCAAACCCAGAACTCCAGACTCTTATTTGTCCTCCAATGCCCACCCCAATCCCAAACCTGCATTGTTGCTAGGAAAACACGAGCTTTAACCCTAACCCAGCCCAAAACCCTAATCATGAACCAGACCCTGCCAGCAGAACAACAAACCTGCCAAAGTTCTACCTAATCCCCACTCTGAGCTCTAAAGTCCAAGGCCTGACCATGAAGAACCCCCACAGCCCTTGGGAGCAGGGCAAGGACCTGCAGGGCCCAGAGCAGGCCCAAGGGGTTGGCAGAGCAATGGGAGGTGACCTGGATCTGCTCAGCTCTGCAGTGACCCCCAGGAGAGGGGCCTGGGCTCTGTCAGGGATGTCCTGGGGCACAGGGGCTTAGCATCAAAGCTAAGAAGGCCAAGTGCACATGGCAGCAGCCAGAGCTGGGGGACAGCAGAGCCATCAGGGAGGGCCCAGAAATGCTGCTGGGAGGGGGGTGGGAAAGCAGGAGGGGTGTGTGCAGCCTGCAAGGCCAGAGGAGCAGCAGGGACAGGGGAGCACAGCCTGCAGCAGACATGGCCAAGGGCTCTGGCAGGGCTGCAAGGCCCAAAGGCACCCAGGCCTTTGTGCCCTTGGCTCTGGCAGCTGCCTCTGCCACTCAGGCCACCACAAGCAACTTTCCTTTGTCTCCCTGCACTCCTGACCTGCAAGGATCTGCTCTAAGGAGTCCCTGGGGAGGCTTTGTCAGGTCCTGCCCTCAGTGGGGCCCAGCAATGCTTCAAGGGGACTGGGAGTTTGGCTTCTACTTCTTGAGCAGCTTCTTCAATCTTCTCTCAGTAGTTGAGGATGTTGCCTAAATGGCTGTGGGGAAAAAAAGACTCCAAGCCAAATTAGGTAGGAGATAAGATAAGGATACAAAGGTTTTAATGAGCCCCCAGGCTTTCTGGAATACCACCAGCGCCCGATCCCAAAATACAGATGTTCACAGTTTTTATAATGATTTTCACCCAATCCCGTCCAGCTACCACCCAGGTTCTGCCCCCGCCACGCCTCTTGGGAATTGGGTCTGGGGTCGTTTTGGGACCCCCTCTTCTTCATCTTCATCTTCCTCAGAGCACGTAATGTCCTTGGAGGCCTTCCAGAATTCTAGGCCTGAAGATTGTTGGGTCTACAGCTATATCTTGTTCCGTAGGGTTAGGGTGTTCTTCTACAGTACTACCTTGAAAAAGAGACTAAACAGGCTATGGAATTTAGGGAATTGATATGGGAATGGGTAACAGGGGTTTGAGCTGGTGTGTTAAGGGTAAAGGGATAATATGTTGCTACTCTAAAATCTACATTTACTACATAACTACTTCTAAGATCTACAAAAATTAAAAAAATCAAAAACATCAAAACTCAAAGGTATAAAGGACAATAGACTTTAAACACACTGTGGGGCTCATTGAAATACAGGAAATCAAATTATTTTCCTTCTTTTAATTATCTTGATGTTTTCAAGTCTTCAACAGCTAATTGGAGTTCCTTTGTAGTTTAGGGAATGAGAAAGATTTTAAAGTGGAAGTCACAAAAATATACTTTTTCTATGAAAGGGAGTGATTTACGCAGAGCCTTGGGATGCAAGAGGGTCAGGGTACAAAGGATTTGGACACAAAAAAAGGGGGCAAAAGATTAGTAGCACATAATCGTTGACCAACTTAACAGTTATTGATTGATTCAATAGCAGGTGCTACAGTTTAACAGTGACTGAATTAAAGATTCAAAATAACAACACTCACACCACAGTCAATTCACACCCACACCCAGGCAGAGATATGGGGACACATCAAGATCTGGGTGTGTGAAGGTCCCTCTCCAAAATTCTCCTTGTTGTCTGTGAAACAACCCCACACCTCCCTTTGTGTTTCCCAACTGACAAGGGTCACCCCTGGAGGAGTGTTTGTTGAGGGGGATCAGAATTGTCCTGGGCATCAGCGATGCTCTTTGCAGTGTTGCAAACTGGAGGGTTCCCGAGCTCCAGGAGTCTGCGAGAGGTGTCCCACTGAGAGGGAGGTTCTGGGGAGCTCCCAGGGCCTCCCTCAGCACCGCTGGGTGTGGGCTCACAAGGGCACTGGCTTTAGTTACCTGCTGAATTTCCATCCTCCTGCCAGTAATTACTGGAGTTTCCAAAATATTTGGGAATTGTATCCAAACTGTTCAATTTGGCGTGTGATTCTGGCAGGGAATGTTCCAAGGCTTCCCTGGGATGACTGATTATCCTGTGCTCACCACCTGTTACACTCAGGATTTTTCCCACCTGTGTCATCCAGGAGCCCCTGGTCCAGTCCAGGAACACTTCACCACACCCCTGGTCCAGTCCAGGGGCTCTTCATTGCTCAGCTGGTTTGGTCAGGAGCTTGTCAGGAGCTGCTGAGATCATCGACCAGGCCTGAGGACAATGCGGGGGATGATGCACCACCTCACAAACTTCAAAGAAAGATGAGACAAACTTTTTGTAGGGCCTAGAGATGGTGTGATAGGAAAAATAGATCTAAACTAAAAAAAGGCAGGTTTGAAGTAGATATAACCAAGGGTTTTTTACATAGGGGGTGGTGAAACACTGGCACAGGTTGCCCAGAGAGATGATTCCTCATCCCTGAAAACATTCAAGGTCAGGTTGGATGGGGCTCTGAGCAATCTGATGTAGTTGAAGATGTCCTTGCTCATTACAGGGGAGTAGGAATAGATGAACTTCAAAGGTCCCTTCCAACCAAAACTCTTCTATCATTTTACTGGATGCAAGGCTGCCAAGGATCACTCAGGTTTCAGACCCAGCTGAGCATCCCCTTTGCTGGCCCATCTGGCAGCTCTGCTAAAAAGCTGCTGCAAAGAACCTCCAGAGCTCAAGGAGCTTTTGTGCTGGGCTGAGCTGTGGCTGTCAGGCCTGGTGGGTTGGCTTTTGGCTGCCAGGGGACCACCAAGGTTCTCTCTTACTCCTCCTCCTTCTCCACTCCCCTTGCTGCCTGCAGGGTTGTTTCTCCCTCATTTCCCTCACTCCTCTCTCAGTTCCAGCACCCTGGATTTTATCCTTTCTCCGAAGGGTTATCCCAGAGGTGCCTCTGCAATTGATTTTTGACTCAGCTTTGGGAAGTGGCTGGTCCATTTTGGAGCCACCTGGAACTGTCTCTCTCTTGTCACAGAGTCAACTCTTGATCTCTTCTTCCCTAAGGCAAACCTGAAGCCCCCTCCCTGCTACCAAACCTGATACACAGGGTCAGGAAAGTGCCCAGGAATACAGGAGGTCACTGAGCCCATTATTATTATTCCTTAGGCTGCTTAAACAAGACTTTGTCCTCTTTCCTCTCCCTGCCTGCAGGTTCTCTCTCTCAGAGCAGAGCTGTGCTGGCCCTCAGCCGTGCTTTGCTCCAGAGCCTGCTGGGCTGGGGGCAGATGGCAATGGCAGAGGGGCTGAGGTGCCCCAAGGAGAGCAAACCCTGCTGTGCCCAGGCCAGAGAGACACAGGGTGGGCTGTGCAGCCTGGCAGGACAGGGCTTTGCTGCTTGGGGGTTCTCTGCCTCTGTGGAGGACCTGGAGGCTTCAGGTGACTGATCTGCAGGAAGGACAAGGTTCTTGAGGGAAATGTCCTTGGCTTTAGATATCCTGTGATCCAGGAACACTGTGAATATCACTGGTCTGTTCCTTGGCTGAAGCACCAAAGGGATGACTGAGGGTTTTCAAGCATTGGAACAGAATGTCCAGGGAAGTGGTTGAGTCACCACAGAATCACAGAATTGTTAAGGTTGGAAAAGACCTCCGAGATCATGGAGTCCAACCATTAACCCAACACTGGCATCTTCACCACTGAACCGTGTCCCCAAGTGCCACAGCTCAATATTTTCTGAAGACTTCCAGGGATGGTGACTGTAAGACCCCAGGTTTGAGCTATGAGCTCCTCAAAGGGTTTTTACTTTAAAAAAAAACATAGAAGGCACCAAAAATATCCACCCTCCAGATATTTTAAAAGGAGAAAGGAGAAGATGCTACACACGTTTTCTCAGGGGGTCAAATATCACACTTTTACTGGTAAACTTTAGAAAATAAGGGAACTGGGCAAAAGTTGAAAGGGCAACATTCAACCAGAACAGAGCATTCCCGAAAGCATTGACTGAGCAAGCCAACCCATGCAAGTCAGCTGGATGGTTTATTGACAATGTGTCCCGAGGGGCGCACCTCCAATGCAATAGAAACCCCTCCCCCTGCATTAGGAACATTTTGAATTCCTGAGGTGTTCAAGCGGAGCTGGGAAATTAACCCCAACTTTGCCAAAGCCCAGAGCCAGAGAGAACTAAGCAAGGAGGCCGCAGCTGCAGAGCAAAGGTCCCCCCAGTGCCTGTGTCCCTGTGGCCGCTGAGGCGGCAGCGCAGCTCCGAGGCCGTCCCAGGTCCCGGGGCAGCCGGGGCAGAGTCGCGGCCGCGCGTGCGGCACCAGCGGCGGTGACTGCGGCAGCCCCGCGGGACCGGGGGCTCCGGGCACAGACGCCGCAGCAGCCGCTGTGGCGGCGGAACAGCGACTCCGAGGCGCTGCAGGAGCGGGGGCTCCGCTTCGAGGCGCCGGCAGCGGGGGAAGCCGGTGCCGGGCCTTGCAGGGCAACGCAGTCCCAAAGCAGCAGCGGGGCAGCCTCGTGGCAGCGGCGGTTCCGGCAGACACGGTCCCGGCCCGGCGGGGCCGCGGGCGCTGAGGGGACGGCGCGGCGGCTCCGGGGGCAGCGGCCGGGGACTCCCTCTCTTGGCAGCCCCGGGCACCAAAGAGGAGCAGGGCCCGCCCTGGCATCAGCTTTGTGCTCTGCAGCTCTCACGGCATCTCAGCACGGGCTGCAATAGGGAAATGGAGCTAAACCACAACAGCCCCTCGTGGAACCGAGTGCTCACTGGGACACTGCAGATCCTCCTGCAATCGAGGAGCCGCTGGGACACTGGGGAGCCTCTTGGAGCCAAGGGAACCCTGGGATCTTTGGGAACAGCGTGGAATCTAGGGGCCACTGTGACACTGGAGGGTCTCGTGGAACCAAAGGAATGCTGGGACAAAGTGGAAACTCATGAAATCATCAGGACCATTGTGACACTCCAGGACCTCATGGAATCAAGGGTCCATTGTGACACTGCAGGGCCTCCTAGAACCAAGGGAACCCTGAGAGTTTTTGGAACCTCAAGCAATCAAGGGTCCATTTCTGGCAGGATGCTCTGCTCTGATTATACCTACAAAATGGTCAGAGAATACAAACAGTGCAAGCTCTCTGTGGTGAGTTACTGCTGGTGTCAAGGTTCTTTTTTTAATGCTGAATTCTGCATAAGCCAAAATGCTTCATGAAACTTCCAAAACACTGCCTTCTTTCTGAAGCAGAATTGGACAGATAAGCTGCTCCCTGGCCTGGAATATGTCTGGCAGTCAAACTCTTTCGACCTATAAAAGCCCTGTCCAACTTTCATGTGGCAGATTCTTCCCCAGACTTCCTTGAAGTGTGTGGAGCTTCTCCCATGAAGCAGGGACAACTCTTCATGGTCACTGCCCAGGGGTTAAGTGAAAGGGAGAAAACTACCCCCTGTTGTTGTGGGCTGAGTTACCTCAATCTTTTTGCTGCCCTGATCCAATTTCCTTAATAGAATGACTTTGATAGACTGCACTGTCCTATCTTACACTATACTGCTAGGAGTTTATGGCTTTTATACTGTGTAGTAAATAATTCTGATTGAGGTATTTTGTCTGTTCATTTTTCTGATCAATTTTCGGTTCATTTGTCATAATAAATATTAATTTTTATATAAATATTTCTTATTGACAATCACTAAAACCTGCAGGATACAGTGATTTAATTAAAACTTCTATAATTCCTTCAATTTAAACCACAATCTGAGCCTGAGGTTGGATCCAGCCACAGGCATCTGGCAGGAATTTAGAAAGCAAGGGGGTCCTTTTTGCCCCTCATAGCTCAACAAGAGGCTTCTCCAAGAAACTTTGTCCAAGCCTTCCACCCCCACCCCCAAGCCGTGACACACGGGCATGTCTTGTCCATGCAGGGCAAACATGGACTGCTGAGCTGGTCATTTGCTGTCCCTCCTTGAAGGGAAGAACAACCTCCCTGCCCTGGACTGAGAGGCCAGTGCTGGGAACGGTGCTGGCTGTGCAAGGGCACTGCTGGGTGCCCCCACCCTGAGCCCTCCACACTTGTGCTGCTCATGCTGTTTTCCTCTGCAGGGCCTTGTGTTGGGCACAGCCTGCAGAGCCAACTGGAAAGCAGATGGAAGCTGTCAGGCCCTGCCCTGAGGAGATGCCCCTGCAAGATGGCAGTGCTGCTGCAGAGGTCAGCTCTGTGCCAGCAGTGCCCGTGGCTGTCCCTGCCTGTAGTCACTGCCCAGTCCTGCAGCAGGACTGACCTCGACTGCCCGAGCACTGAGGCCTCAAACAACACAGGGCTCTGCAGGACAGTGGGCAAGGGCAGGAGGAGGAGAGCATGAAAGAAGAAGGGCTGCTGCTCCCTGTCAGGGCTGCTCTGCTGGAACTCTTTTGTTGCCCAGCTCTGCATAGAGACACCGACCCTGCAGCTCCAGAGAAGTCAGAGAGGAAAGATGTCAGGGAAACCAGTCAGGGCAGAGTTGTTTATTTTGTTTAAGCACACGGTGAGTACAATTTCCAAATTTTACAGCCAGACTAGAAAGGCAAACACTGAACTAAATATGGTGTTAATAACAAAACTTACGACCCATACAAGTAGGAAAAAAAAAAAAAAGAAGATAGGAGTCTTTAATGAAATACATGAGAGCATTGGCCTTTAATGAGGTAGATAACATGGAGAACAAGAAGAGTGTATTGCTTCTCAAAAACACCCAGTTATCAGTTTCTTCAAGGAATCCTTGAGATCCTGGTTCCTCAGGCTGTAGTTGAGGGGGTTCAGGGCTGGAGGCACCACCGAGTACAGAACTGACACAATAGGATCAAGGGATGGGGAGGAGATGGGGAGTTTCAGGTAGGCAATGAAGGAGGTGCTGATAACAATAAAGACCATGGTCAGGTGAGGGAGGCACGTGGAAAAGGCTTTGTGCCGTCCCTGCTCAGAGGGGATCCTCAGAAAAGACGTGAAGATCTGCACATGGGAGAAAACCATGAAATTGCAACAACAAAAACAAAAAAAAACAACTTATCATAAAAAGACCAACTTCCCTGAGATAGCCTGAGTGTTGGCAGGAGAGCTTGAGGATGTGTGGGATTTCACAGAAGAACTGGCCCAGAGCATTGCCCCGGCACAGGGGCAGGGAAAATGTATTGGCTGTGTGCAGCAGAGCAGTGACAAACCCAGAGGCCCAGGCAGCTGCTGCCATGTGGGCACAAGCTCTGCTGCCCAGGAGGGTCCCGTAGTGCAGGGGTTTGCAGATGGCAATGTAGCGGTCGTAGCACATCGTGGTGGGGAGGTAATTGCTGAGATGAAGAACACAAAGAAAAAGACCTGAGCAGCACATCCCGTGTAGGAGATGGTTGTGGTGTCCCAGAGGGAGTTGTGCATGGCTTTGGGCACAGTGGTGCAGATGCAGCCCAGGTCTGTGAGGGAGAGGTGCAGCAGGAAGAAGTCCCTGGGGGTGTGCAGGTGGTGATCGCAGGCTACAGCGCTGAGGATGAGGCCGTTGCCCAGGAGGGCAGCCAGGGAGATGCCCAGGAAGAGCCAGAAATGCAGGAGATGCAGCTCCTGCCTGTCTGCAAATGCCAGGAGGAGGAACTGGGCCATGGAGCTGCTGTTGGGAATTTGCTGCTTCCTCAGAGTGTTTGGATCTGTTGAGGAGGAGAAGTCAATGCTGAGTTAGACCTGGCTGCTGCAGCCAAAAATGACACCTCTCACAGCCACCCCACTCTCAGGCTCTCTCTTCAGTCAGACCACCCGGAAGCTCCCTCCCCTGAGGTCTGGCTGTTGCTGCTTGAGGGCACCATTTAAAGCAGAAACTCTGGGATGGGCTCCCAAGGACTCCTTTTTCCTCTGAAGGAAGAGGGAACTTGGAATGCAGGGTGATTTACAATTAAATGTGCTCCTGATACATCCAAGAGCTTCTTAGTTTTGCTGTTTGCAATTTGCCCAAATGAAGGACTGATCTGAGGGAATTCTTTGTGTTTGTTCCCCAGTTGCACCAGCCACAGTTAGGAGTGATTGTGGATATTGGAAATCCCTGACATTTCCATGCACTGCAGGTCAAGTCTTGTGGGTTCTAAGGGCACAGGGACGGTCCCTCAGTGCAGACAGAAGAGCTGCTCTGCCCATCAGTCTGTGCTCAGCTGCCCTGTGCGGGCAGCTTGGAGCTGGAGGAGCATCATACTCAACTGTTCCCCTACAGAGAAACTGCACAGATGGCCAGGAATCTGTGTCCAAAGAACAGATTGACACACTCCTCACTTTTTCATCTCGGCCCTCTCAGCTGCCCAGAGCATTTCCATGGACTTAGCACAGTGGAGTTTTCTCCATGGGGATCCTGTGCAGCACAGAGATACTCTGGCAGAGCTGTGCCCTCCTGGAGGGCACCTGCAGCCCTGCAGGACACCCAGGAAAACAACTGAAGAGCTTGAAGTTCCTGGAGGGAACAGCAGCACACATAGGGTTTGTGTCTGCACCGGAATCTGCCCCCCCAAACCCCACAGTGGCTCAGAAAAGCCAAGGGTGAGAACAAGGAGAGCCCAGGCAGCAGGGGATGGCAGGGAAATACCCCAGTGCTGCTGCCAAGGGAGGAGTGACAGCCAGAGAGAGAGGAAAATCAGGGTCTTGTCCTTGCCTGGGCTCTGGCTGCTGCAGGGCAATGCCCAGCCCAGCCCCCATGGGCCTGAGGGCACAGGTTCTGCTCAGGCTGGCAAAGGAGCCCAGGCAGGAGCTGCTCAGGGAAGGGCTCTGAGCCACAGACACAGGCAGGGAGGGGCCACATCCCCTGGCCAGCACTTGTGGCAGCAGCTGCCTCTCCCTCCCTGCCTGTGTGTGTGTGTGAGGAGCTGTTCCTGCCAGCAGCCCCTCCCTGTGCCCAGCTCAGCTTCCTGCCAGTGCTGCCAGAGCCCATCCCCAGCCCAGGGCCCAGGAGCAGCTCTGCCTGGGCAGGGGCTGCAGAGCAGATCCCAGACCCCCTGCGCCAGCTGGGAAGGGGCAGGTGTTGGCAGTGGATGTGCTTCCTGAGAAGGGCCTCTTGCAAATGGCAGCAGGTGCAGCTGAAGCTGGGAGGAGCCCTGAGCCTGCAGCTGAAGGGCCCTGCGCAGCCCTGGCCTGCCAGGAGGGCTCACTGCTTCCCCCCACCCCTTCTCCCTGCAGGGCCATGGCAGCTCCTTGGCCAGGCTGAGAGCTGCCCCTGGCAGGCAGCAAAGTCCCTGCCCCAGCACACACAGCCCTGGGGAGCAGGACCCTGCTCTGCCCCACAGCCCTGGGCACCCCTGGCTGCACCCCCACCTTGCCACCCCACAGCCAGCCCTGGCACATGGAACCTTCTGGCCCTGGGCCTCTGATGGGGCAGCAGCAAGTCCTGCTCTGCAGCAGCTTCTCCTGCTGCCCCCTAGCAAAGCCAGCACAGCCATCCTGACAGTTCCTGCCAGGGCTGGCATTTGGCAGCTGCAAGAGCCACTTGCAGCAACTCACCTGCACTGCTCTGCAGCCACAGCCTTCCCATGCCAAAGGGCTGCCAAGGTTCCTCCCGTGAGGAGCTCTGTCCTGTCCTCCCAGCCCAGGATCCCTTTCATCTCCTGTCTGCCCTTGCTGCCTGCAGCTCCTGCCCTGCTCTGCCATAGGGTCACTTCCTCTGCCCTGCAGGGACTGGGAGAGTCCTTCTGAAAGATCCTACAAGCTGTGGGCTGTGGCAGCTTTAGGAGATCCCTGCAGGAAGGGAAGTTTCAGTGTCCTCCAGCCAGAGAATTCTTCATTCAAATCCTTGGAAGGTTTCTCCCCTAGTGAGAGCTCAGTCCCATCCTAGCCCAGGCTGCCTCTCACCTCTCTGCCTTCTCTCCTGTGCCCTGGATGCTGCAGGCAGTGCCCTCATCCCTGCTTGACTGTGCAGAGAAGGTGCTCAGCAGCAGAGCTATCTCTTCGAAGCTCTTCTTGATTGCCGGGAGCTCCCTGTGTGCCTGGAGCCCGGCCGAGCTCAGCAGCACAGCAACAGCCCCAGGCATTTCATCAGCCTTGGGGGCTTTGAGGATGAGTCCCTGAACATCAGACCCTGAGGAGAGTTGCAGGAACCTCTTGAGAAACTGTCGGGGTTTCAGTGGCTTCTGGGGGGTCTCTCCCGGCGCTGTGAAGGTTCCTAGGGCTGAGATTACCTCTTCCCTCCCCGCTGCCTGCCCTCGTGGCGTGGACAGGCAGCGGAGGGGCCTCTGTCCGGAGAGAGAGAGAGCACGCAGCACGCAGGGAGGCCAGCAGGAAAAAGAGAGTTTATTCAAATGTCCCCCAGCTTATATAGGCTGGTGGGGAGAGTGGTGATTGGACATTTAGATAGCCAATACAAAGAGACAATATCCAACATAGGAACCAATGATATTCAAGTGAGTTATCAGTTTTTAACCCTTACAATTCACCCTTTCTTATTTATAATAAAGACAAACATTTGTAATTTTAAGGGGATTTAACAATGAAGATTTTGTAGTCAAACCTGGGGTAAAAGTTGATACAAAGGTTGATATGAAAATGGGAAAGTGAGTAAGACAATTTGTATTGAACTTGAGAAAACAGGTAATTTTAAGACTTATGTTCCTATTATAAAAAGAGAAATCTCGAAATTAGATTTTACTTGAGTCTGTTTGGGTGACTCTACCTGAGCTATCTGTTTTCAGGGTTAGGGGGATACAGGAATATGCCAGGGCTGCTCTCATGCACCGAGACGTCAGCTCTGGGCGTTCGCCCGACGCAGAACGTTTTCTGCGTTGCTGCTGCCCCCCTCCTTCACAGCAGAAGTAAGGACAGCCATGCCCTATCCGGCCCATTTGGCGAACGCTGATTGGACAGGGAAACAGGGAACCCCGGGACAAGAGGTTTTCCTTTGGCGAGAAGCCAACTGCCCCTAGCTCCAGGGGGGGGGGAAGTTTTCAGGGTTAAAGGGATGTAGGAATATGCCAGAGCTGCTCCCACCTTCACTGGGACGCCAGCTCTGGGCGTTCGCCCGACACAGAACATTTTTCTGTGCTGCTGCTGCCTCCCTCCTTCACAGAAGAAGTAAGGACAGCCATGCCATATCCGGCCGATTTGACGAACGCTGAGTGGATGGGAAACGGGGAGCCCCGGAACAAGAGGCTTTCCTTTGGCGAGAAGCCAACTGCCTCTAGCTCTGGGGGGGGAAAATGCTCCCTCCCCGCCCCCCACCTTTACCCCGCGGCTGCTCATGGCCCCCTAGAGAGCGAGCGACAGCGCCGACAGCCAGGTGGCAGGGAAAACAGGCAGAGAGGTCTTTACTTTCACTGGATCTCTACTCCTCACATTTACTTCTGAGTGCATTCTGTGCGTGGAGATTTCTAAATTAATAATAGGGAACAAAAATGCATTAAGTTGGGGGAGGTTGTTATTGGGTTTCCTTTGTTTTGATGATGACGGGAAAAATCTGTAAAAGTAAAACAATCTGGAAATTAACATATGAACAGTAAAGGAGAAGAACCGGTTTGGGTACTTTGAAGCTAGATTGTAAAGAAAGAAAAAAAAAGTTGAGGGAACAGGGTTGGGGGGTGCGCAGGCAGCGTGGCTGGATCGACCGCGTGGCTGGAGGTGGGCGGTCTCTCGGCGCTCCCCCGGTGTCCAGAGCGGAGTCGAGCGATCCGGGCGGCGGCACGGCTCTAACTGGGCACGGAGCAGCAGAGTCCAGCTCACATTCCGGGAGCGGCAGCCTCCGTCTCCTCTTCCTGCAGTAGGGGCGAAGAAAAGTCCCTGCGTCGGGGCTGAGCGGGGAACATTCCAAGGGCGGCGGCTGACGCTGTTCCTGCGGTTCTCGCTCGGCTTTCTCCATCCAGCGGCGGCAGAGACGTGGCAGGCAGTTTGAAAATGCCGCTCCTCCGTGCTGGGGACACGTGCCTCGCGTGCAGTTTCTGTGTTGTTTTTCAAAGTCCGCACCACGTTGCACTCAGCAGCCCCGCGACGCTCCGCAGCCACCGCCGCCGAGCCGAGACCACACGGCTTGCCTGCAGGTCCCTCGGCCCTCCGCCCCCCTGGGCTACAGAGTCGGCGTGGCACAGTTCAAACGCCGGGCGCTCAGCAGAGCCGGCATTGCTGTTTAAAAACGTCTCTCCTCCCCGGTAACGCAGAGACAGGATTAGTCAATGGGGGAGGGGGAGCGAGCTGTTATCGTTCCCACTGTTTATATTCAAAAGTATATTTTAAAATTGTTTACCGATATCGTGGGCGGAATTCTTGCCGGCATTCTCCACCAATTGTCGGGGTTTCAGTGGCTTCTGGGGGGTCTCTCCCGGCGCTGTGAAGGTTCCTAGGGCTGAGATTACCTCTTCCCCCCCCGCTGCCTGCCCTCGTGGCGTGGACAGGCAGCGGAGGGGCCTCTGTCCGGAGAGAGAGAGCACACAGCACGCAGGGAGGCCAGCAGGAAAAAGAGAGTTTATTCAAATGTCCCCCAGCTTATATAGGCTGGTGGGGAGAGTGGTGATTGGACATTTAGATAGCCAATACAAAGAGACAATATCCAACATAGGAACCGATGATATTCAAGTGAGTTATCAGTTTTTAACCCTTACAAGAAACCAAAGTGAGATTCAAACTGTAAAGTTTCTTGTAATGTTAATGGGTCCCACTGAGGGACCCAACTGAGAAAACATCCCCAGGATCTTATTAGAGCTCAAACCTCGAAACTGTGATGACAGATCAGAGAATCACAAAGTCACCAAGGTTGGAAGAGACCTTCAAGATCTTTTGGTCCACTTGTCAACCAAAACCATCATAACCACCCCTAAACCATACCCCGAAGTGCCATATCCAGATGCCATCTGAACACTTCCAGAGACTCCACCAGCTCCCTGGGCTAGTTCCTCCAATGCCTGAACACTCCTTCAGTGGAAAAAGTTGTTTGTAATATCAAACTTGAACCTCACCCAAGGCAACTTAAGGTCATTTCTTCTTCCTTTCACTATAAACTTGGTAGAAAAGACCAGCGCCACCTCACTAAAATCTTGTTTGGGATCATCGTAGGTAGCAGTGCACATTGTAGAGGGGTGCACTCTGAACCTCCTCTTCTGCAGACTAAGGAACCCCAGTTCCCTCAGCTGCTCCTCATCAGACATGTTTTCCTGGCCCTTCCCCAGCTCCGTTCTCTTCTCTGGACATGCTCCAGCCCCTCCAGGGCCTTTTTGCACTGAGGGGCCAGAACTGGACACAGTACTCAAGGTGGGGCCTCCCCAGTGCCCAGCACAGAGGGACAATCACTGCCCTGGTCCTGCTGGCCACCCTGTTCTCCAGAAAGGCCAGGGTGCCCTTGGCCTTCTTGCCCCCCTGGGCACACTCTGGCTCATATCCAGTCACTGTCAAGCAGCAACCCCAAGTCCCTTCCTTCTGAGCAGCTCTCAAGCCCCTCTGCCCCCAGCCTGGAGTGTTCCAGGGGGCTGTTGTGACCCAAGTGCAGGCCCTGACACTTGGCCTGATTGATGCAGCCTGTCCAGATCCCTCTGCAGAGCCTTCCTGCCCTCCAGCAGATCCACACTCATACCCAACTTCATGGTATCCGCGAATTTTCTGAGGGGGCACGTGATCCCCTCATCCAGATCACCAATAATGATGTTAAACAGGAGCAGCCCCACCCCTGAGCCCTAGGGAACCCCACTAGTGACCGGTCCCACCTGGATTTAGTTCCATCCCCCACCACTCCCTGGGCCATCAGCCAGTTTTTCCCCCAGCAAACAGTTCCCTCGTCCAGGCCATGAGCAACCAGTTTGTGCAGGAGATGCTTGGGGAGATGGGGTCAAAGGCTTTCCTGAAGTCAGGACAGACACATCCACAGCCTGTCCCTCAGCTGCTAAGTGGGTCTTTTGTCAGAAAAGGAGACCAGGCTGGTCAGGCAGGACCTGCCTTTCCCAACCCCACGCTGGCTGGGCCTGATCCCCTGGATGTCCTTCCTGTGCCATGGGATAGTGATGGGAGAAATAGAAACTTGACTCACAGTGTTCCAGAATGCCCAAAGAAGGGACAATGTACTCTTATAGAAGTCCTGGAGAATTAGATCAGGGATGTAACTCAGACTAACAGGATGTAAATAAGATCTGTTTCCCCAGATAAGATGAAGAAGAAATGTAACAGTTTTTGGTGGTGGAACACCATCATGATATGCCTGCTCAAGGACTGAGGGCAAGACAACAACCTTTGGACCTGGAGAAATCAAAGAAGAACATCTTATAAATATGTACCCAGTGTGTGCAATAAGAAGCCCTATCCATCTGTCATTTGGCACCTTCAGTTAGGGAAACTTTCCTTCCAACGTGCAGTGCTGAAAAAAGAACAATTTCTGTCTTAATATTTACAAATTGGGGTTGAGGTGTTTGTTTCTGCCACCTTTTGGTATCAGGGCCATTGTGACACTTAGGAACCTCCTGGAATCCAAGGGCCATTGCCACAGTGCAAGACCTAATGGAGCCAAAGGCCCTTGGACCCTGGGGCAGCTCACAGAATTCAGGGGCCTTGATGACACTCCAGGGCATCATAGAACTAAAGGAGTCCCGGGAAGGTGCTGAACCTCATGGAATCAAGGGGGCTTTGTGACACTGTGACATTGTGACACTGTGACCCTGCAGGGCCATGTGGAGACAAAGGGACCATTGTGACCCTGTGACATTGTGACACTGTGACCCTGCAGGGCCATGTGGAGACAAAGGGGCCATTGTGACCCTGTGCAACTTCACAGCACCAAGGACCATTGTGACCCTGCAGGGCCTCATGGATTCAAAGGAGTGCTGGGACACTCTGGACCTGATGGAATCACTGTGCAATTGGGACACCACAAAACCTCATGGAATCCTCAGGACCACTGTGACATATGGGAATCTTCTGGAATCAAGGGACCATGGTCACAGTGCAGGGCCTTCTGGAGCATAAGGGACCATTGTGACACTATGGAACCTCATGGAATAAAGGAACCTATGAGACACTGGATTATTGTGATAATTCTTGACTCAGAACAACTCCAGTGTGTGTGTGGGTGGGGAAGGGACAGGTCGAATTTGCTGAAGGTGAGGTGCTGCCCTGTTCCATTGCCCAGACCTTGGAGCCTCCTTGGGCAGCCCTGGAGCTGCTGTCAGTCCCAAGCAGCCCGGGAGCTCTGCCCCATCCCACAGCCTGTAGCCACTAACCCAGCTCCAGACTGGCTCCAGCACACCAGGAGCTCTGCCCCTCAACCTTCTGGAGCCCCAGAGTGGCCAGTGGGCCACAAGTCCCCCCTGGGGGTGGGCACAGGGGGCAGAGCAAATCAAAGGAGCCCCGTGCAGCCATCATGTGGTCGGACCCTCCATCTGGGCATGGGAAGCTGGACTGGCACGAGACTGTGTGTGGGAGCTGCAATTCTCTCTTCTTCTGTCTTTACTTCTTCTCTTCATCTCCTTTCTCAATAGTTTGAGTCATTTATAAAACCAGATGGTTTGCTTTTTGCTGACTTTTCTTGATTGGCCTGTGATCAGTCAGTGCTTTGGGGAATGCTCTATTCTGGTGGAATGTTGCCCTTTTAATTTTTGCCAAGCTCCCTTTTTTGCTAAAGGTTCAAGTTATCATCATGGCTGGGCTTTGCAAACGAAGATTTGAGAAGGGCTCTACCCACACTTGCTACAAGCGCACTGATGGCTAAAAAGGCCAATGAAAGATAGACAAGTCCGGTTGCAGAAGGCACAGCAGAAAGACTCCCTTGGTGATATTGACAAGGCACGATTCTTTCTGCATTGTCTTTTCTCCTCGAGAGTGATCCTGTGTGTGTTCCCAAGGAAGCAGCAGCGTTATAGATGGTGTGTCTCCAGGCCTCCCGATTGGTGGCCAGGGTATACCAATGGTGGTGATCAATATGGCCAAGGCTGAGGGATTGTTTCAGGCAGTCCTTGTATCTCCTCTTCGGGGCTCCTCTCTTGCTGCAGCCAGTGGCAAGTTCCCCATATAGCACGATCTTAGGGAGGCAGTAGTCCTGCATCCTGGAGACGTGCCCTGCCCAGCGCAGCTGTGTTCTCAGCAGCATGGCCTCGATACTTGTGACTGCTGCCTGTTCAAGGACAGATGTGTTGGTCACATAATCCGTCCAGTGGATGGTTAGGATTGTACAGAGGCAGCACTGATGGAAGCGTTCTAAGAGACGCAAGTGGTGGCAGTAAATGACGCCTGATTCAGACCCATATAAAAGAGTAGACAGTACAATGGCTCTGTAAACACTGATCTTTGTATTTTCTTAAGTGTTTGTTTTGCCAAACTCTTTTATGGAGTTTACCAAAAGCTCTGTATGCCTTTGCTAACCTGTTGTCTATTTCTGCATCAATCTTACCGTCTGAGGAGATGATGCTTCCCAGGTAATTAAATTGCTAGACTGATTTGACCTCTGATTTGTCAATGGTGATATGGGGATGATGGAAGACTTCCTGAGGTGCAGGCTGATAGAAAACTATTTCTTCTTCACTCTGACTTCAAGCCCAAAAAGCTCAGCAGCCTCTGCAAAGCAGGATGTTAAAGGTTGCAGAGCTGCTTCTGTGTGGGTGACGAGGGCAGCATCGTCAGTGTAAAGCAGCTCACATACAAGATGATTTAAGGTCTTACTGTGGGCTTTCAGTCAAAACTTAACTTCTCAAGGCCCTTCCCCATCTTTGTTGCTTCCTTTGGACACTCTCTAATGGCTCAATATCTTTCTTATATTGTGTCCCCCCAAACTGCCCCACTATTGCAGGTGAGGCCCCCCCAGGGCAGAGCAGAGCGGGAAAATCCCCTCCCTGATGCCCCCAGCACAGGCTTGGCCCTCCTGGCTGCCAGGGCACTGCTGACTCAGGGCCTACTGGCCACCATCAGGACTCCCAGGGCCCTTTCCTGGCACTGCTTCCCAGCCTCTCATGCCCTGCTCTGTCTTTCCATCTGTGGTCGCCCCATCCCAGGGGCAGAATCGGGAACTTCCCCTTGTTGAACTCCATGTGGTTGGTGATTCTCAGCCCTCTGATCTGTCAAGGTCTCTCTGCCGAGCCTCTCTGATCCATGAGGCCCCTCAGGGTCCAAATGGTCCCTTTGTTCCCTGAGGTTCCCGGGGTTCTCCATAAGACCCTGCAGTGTGACCGTGTCCCCTTAATTCCACGAGTTTCTGAAATGTCTCAGGGCTCCTTTGGTTCCATAAGGCCCTGTCATGTCAAAATGGCCCTTTACTTCCATGAGGTTCTGCAGTGTCCCAGTTTTCCTTTGCTTCCATGAGGCCCTGCAGTTTCACAATGAACCCTTGATTCCAAAAGGTTCCAAAATATCTCTAGGTTCCTTTGCTTCCATGAGGGCCATCAATGTCACAATGGTTCCTTAGTTCCGTGAGTTTCCATAGAGTCCCTGAGTTCCTTTGCTTCCATGAGGCCCTGCAGAGTCCCAGTGGCCCCTTGATTCCCTGAGATTCGGAAATGTCACAATGGCCCCTTGATTCTAAAAGGTTCCACCCTGTCCCAAAATTGCTTGGGTTCCATGAACCCTTTCAGTGTCACACTGGACCCTGTTTCTCCAGGGGAAGAGGGTCAGCACAAGACACACAGACACTGACTCTAAGGAACAAGGGTGTAATTTCTCCACCCAAAGCCAGGCCAGGGCCTAAGGGGCAAACCGAGGGACTCAACTTGCACCACCTGCTGCCAAACAAGGCCAGACATCGACTGCCATGGCCTTGACCGGGATCTAAACACAGAAAGATAAATACATTCATATTTTGCACATTTCACAATCATACATATTTTAGTAATGAACAAATACAAATATTTTCCACTAATGAGTGGATACAAATATATCTTACACAGATACAGCCCTATCCTACTACAGATTTCACTGGTGCTTATACACAGTTTTAGCTCCTGAGCGGATACGCGGAGAAATAGAACATTAGGTTGGAAGGTTCATCCAGAGGCCAACTTTGGCTCAGGGGATGTTGTTCAGGCCTCAGTACTTCAACTGCAGAGCCCTGTGGAACCAAGGGGCCATTGTGACCCTGTGGGGCCTTGTGAAACCAAAGGGACCCTGTGATACTGTGGAAATTCATGGAGATAAAGGAACCCCTGGACACTGTGGAACCTCATGGAATCAAGTGGCCACTATGACATCACAGGGCTTCTTGGAATCAAGGGGCCGTTGTGACACTGTGGAACCTCATGGAACCAAAGGAACCCTGGGAAACTGTGAAACCTCGTGGGGTCATCAGGGCAACTGGGATGCTGTGGAACCTCATGGAATGAAAGGGTTTAATTGTGACACTGTGGGGACTCCTGGAACCAAAGGGACCCTGTACCTGTGACTGATGGACACTCGAGGACCATTATCCTGACTGAATCCGGACTCTAATGGGCACCAACACAGGATCAGTTCCCCATGGATATTTCCCACATTCTGAACTACCCTTGTCATTGTATAAGTTTGTGATTTTAGCTTCTCTAATAACCTTGGATGTTCAAGTATATCCTCAGCAGACAGAAAAGTGGGTGTATGTCCAGATGTAAGAGAAGGAGCTGCTCAAGCAGAAATGGGAAGGACTTTTGTCTCCCAAGATGGTTGTGGAAGATCTTGGAGGAGACTCCCAAATTCCCTGTATGGAAATAAAACAGCTCCAGACACAGAGGAACCAACTGTCCTGGACAGTGCAGTGAACAATAAATCTGCTGCAGGTAAAGCTGCAACAGAATAAGAACCTCGAAAGTGAAAATCATGAAATGGTTTATCTTTTTTATATTTATAGGACAATGTTTCTAGGACTGCAGCGTGGTGATTTACCCCTGGATTAGCCAGCTGTCCTAACAGAGCCTTGCAACTAACAACGATAAAAGAAAGAAAAGAGACCAAAGTCCCTTTTCCAAAGGGCCACTCCAATAGAACACACACAGAGCAAATGCCACCTGAGCCTTGGAAGAGAAGCTCACCCTGAAAGCCAACACAGGCTGTGACACTGAGAACAAACAGCAGGAACTGCTGGATTTGTTCTCCGTTTCCCACTCATTCAAATAAAAGCATTCGAATGATGGGACTTCCAACAGCAAACATATTGTCCAGTGGTCTCCCTCCAGCTGGAGTGATGCTCCTTCTAGAAGGAAAAGCAGCCCAAACTCTCCTAGATCAACAAATGCTCATCCTGGTCGCTCCCCTGGGGTTGAGAGATCTGCCTGCTGTCTCCTATGGTGGTTTATATCAATCTCTTCTTAATGCTTGTTTCTTTGGCTGGTTTTGATAAAATTTCTTTATTAGAATTGCTTTGATACAGTGCACTGTACTACTTTATGCTATATTATACCCTACTAGTAGGTTTTTAGTCTTTTCACCCTATAGTAAATCATTCTGATTAAGACTTTTCATCTGTTTTCACTTGCCAGTTCATTTGTCATAATAAACAATTCATTTTATATAAATACCTCTGATCTGCCATCATTAAAACCTGTGAGACAAAGTGATTTAATCACACCTCTGTAATTCCTTAAATTTACACCATTGACACAGCCGGAGGCTAAGATTGGATCCAGCCACAGACTCCTCTTTGAGAAGGAATTTAGAAAGCCAGGGGATCCTTTCTGTACCTCATGACTCAGAAGCAGTTGAGCTTCTTTAAAGGCTTTGTCTAAGCCTTCCACTTCCATCCAGGACACCCCCATACTCACACACCCCCCAACCCTGCAGTCCAGCCGCTCCAGTCACTCAGTTGCCAGCACTGTTGACATGGGGGTTGTTTGATGCCCTGGTCCTCCTGCAGTTGCTGCACTCACACCCCCACGCTCAACAGCTCTTGCAGAGAGAAATTGACTCACACAGGAGTTAGAAATTAAGTTTCATGAGAAGACAGACTGCACTGGTTGGGGTCCTCCCCTTCCCTCAAGCCCTGTTCTATCCAAAACTGCTCTTCCCCTGCATCCCATAATGTGTCCTACATTCCAAGGCAACAATCCCCCTAGTTCAAATGGTGATCTGCTCTCAGTGCCTTAGGGCTTTCAAACCTGGACAACAGGGCTGATGGCTCTCCCAGGGCAACCCTTGAAGGAGCTGGGACACAATGTCCCTTCCTCAGGAGCCCGTAATTTGGGTTGTCCCTTGCCACTGTTCCTCTGTGCTCTCTCTGGAGATGGATTCCTGGTGAGCTGATAGCTCTCCAGGGATGGAGCAACCAGGGCAGAGCATTAACTGCCCTGTCACTCCTCCTACCACTGTTAGTGCCCCGTCTGGGTGTGCAGATGAGCTTCTTATCACTTAACCTGACACGAGCTGACTAGCATACATCTCCCAAGGCCTCCATGTTTGGAGGTTACAAACATATGCCCTGGTATTGTTTAACATGGGAGAGTAGGTCCTTGGAATTTATGTACAGAAATGCATCAGGATTAGGGGAAGAGCTTTGTTATTGTTCTGGTGTACTGGTTCGTTAGGATACATGTCCAGAATAAAGACAAGTACAACAGTCATTCAAACACTACAAAATATATTTGATTGCAGTGAGAGTAAAAAAAAAAACAACTATTAGCAAAGAGAATCAAAAGTTAAAAAAAAATAATAGAAAAAACCTACTTTATCTATTGGCATTCATACAATACCACAAACAGCCTCTATTACAGCATTAGCTAGTAAAAGGGGAATTAAAGGGATACAAGAAAAAGGATATAAAACGTTTCCTTTCCCTGTTGCTTCCTATCAATAAACTGTGCTTACCTGCACAGACAGGCCAGGTCTACCAGGGTCTGCAGGGGTTGGTCGGTGCCCGTGCTTGGCGGGTGTCCCCGCGGAGCAGCACAGTGTGGATGGAAGGATGAGCATCGCTCCACCCAGCAGTGCTGACACGCCATTCCATCAGCTCTACATTACACTACATAGGGCCAGGACGCAGCATAAGGCGGTGCTTGAGTGGCAGACAAACAGCGCCCTTTCATCACCTCATGGCAACAGTCTGGGCATGCCCCACTGTAGGGCAAGGGGCCAACGACCCCTGCCCACATCATCTTCCTCTCCGTCACCCTCCTCACCACTGTGGATGACCTGTACCATTGTGTTTCAAGGGTATTTTTATCTCTCTTGCAGAGTGGAGCCAAGCCAAGGAGGAACTCAGCTCTGATAATGGGGGACATCCAGTTAACTTTGCTAAAAGTACTGATACCTTAGAGTTTTGATGTTTTTGATTTTTTTAATTTTTGTAGATCTTAGAAGTAGTTATGTAGTAAATGTAGATTTTAGAGTAGCAACATATTATCCCTTTACCCTTAACACACCAGCTCAAACCCCTGTTACCCATTCCCATATCAATTCTCTAAATTCCATAGCCTGTTTAGTCTCTTTTTCAAGGTAGTATTGTAGAAGAACACCCTAACCCTACGGAACAAGATACAACCGTAGACCCAACAACCTTCAGGTCTAGAATTCTGGAAGGCCTCCAAGGACATTACGTGCTCTGAGGAAGATGAAGATGAAGAAGAGGGGGTCCCAAAACGCCCCCAGACCCAATTCCCAAGAGGCGTGGTGGGGGCAGAACCTGGGTGGTAGCTGGACGGGATTGGGTGAAAATCATTATAAAAACTGTGAACATCTGTATTTCGGGCGCGCGCTGGGGGTATTCCAGAAAGCCTGGGGGCTCATTAAAACCTTTGTATCCTTATCTCCTACCTAATTTGGTTTGGAGTCTTTTTTCCCCACAACCACTTAGGCAACAGTTTTGGTGACTCTGTACGGGGAATCGAGACCTGTGACTCCTCTGGATCGGTATTCCGTTTTGCAGGGATTTCTTTCCCGGTCGGCATATCTTGAAGAATTCCTGCTCTGATCTTGGGGGGCCCAGATTCTCAGAACCGCATGTGGAGGAGGTAAGATAAAGAACAAAACTCCTAGAGAATTTTAATTAGCAGCTGCGGGAAGGAGTTTCCCCAGGGTTAGGGAATACGGTGAGACTGGGAAGGGAAACTTGGACTTGGGCCCAAAAGTCAGTGTTTTCCCAGTCTTTTGGCAAAGGGATTTTTTTCCGGAGTGGGCAGGGGAACTGCCCGGAAAGTTTAAGTTAGGGCAGGCAGGAGGATTTTGGGTTTCGTGTTAGCCAGGTGTGGCCGGACGGGGGGGGGACACCTCCCTCGCTTGAAACTCTGTGTTTCTGCCTTAACCTGGTAGAGTCTGGATTGGATACAAAGTCTGCAGTGTGTGTGTGTGTGTGTGAGTGGCTGTGAGTTCTAGGTTAGATCTGTCGTTTTCCTTGGGTGTTGTTTGTTAACATGGGATGTACACAAGCTAAAGAGGAAATTCCAGAGGGAACCCCTCTCGCTTTGGTTTTACGGTATTGGGATGATTTAACTGGCCCTGAGACATCTTTAAAAAGGCAGGAGGTAGTTAGACTCTCTATGGATGTTTGGTCCTATACTGGACAAATTAGAGGAATAACCTGGCCTAAATTTGGTTCTTTTGAGGCAAATACAGTGTTTCATCTTATGACAATCCTTCATAAGGAAGAATTGTGGTCTGAGTTGCATTATGCAGAGTTATTCTACCTTTTCTTAACCTGTCCAAAATTGAGAAAGGAATATAAAAAGGACAAAGTTAAAATAGAAGCAGAACTCACAGAAATGGCATTAGAGGAGAAAAAGAAAAAGAAAAATCGTGCTAAACGTGATCCAGTCAATACTGAAAGCCCTGGAAATGAAGATCTGGACCTCTTAATTCCCCCAGATAGGAAAATAACAAGCCCAGGACCCTTCCTGGGTCCGGCCGCAGGTGCGGGGGGCGTCGGTCCATCAGGAGTGGGGGTAGCCCCTGGGGCGGTTCCTGCCAGCTCGGCAGGGACGGCTGGATCTGCAGTGCCAGGTCCAGTTGCTTCTGGGGCCCCGGGGGCAACGGCAGGACAAGCTGGGACTGCTCCGGGCGGAGCGGGGGTCCTGGGAACTGCTGTTGGTGCTCCGGGACCTGCGGGGTGGGCGCCGGCTGTTCCAACCGGCACGGGAGCGGCGGGAGCGGGGGTGGCCTCTGTCCCGGCTGTGCCAGGAGCTCTAGCGCCGGCCGGGTTGACGGCGGCTCCTC